TTCAACCACCACATGTTCGTGCTGGAGCAGGAGGAGTACAAGAAGGAAGGCATCGAGTGGGAGTTCATTGACTTCGGGATGGACCTGGCTGCCTGCATTGAGCTCATTGAGAAGGTCTGTTTAATTTTCATGCCTTCAAAACATGAAAAAGAAATCGTCCACCCCTAAGCTTAACTGCAATTCCAAATCTCAAAGAATGAGTCTCAGAGCAGTGCTGTTTAGTGATCTGTTACTAATGAAATAAAGTACAGCAGTTTGTAGAAAAATGGCTAAACATGCACACACACACACACACACACAGATTCAATTATCCCTCTAATAATTTCATTCTTCTTCACTTTTATTCTTATGAGATTTCATGCATATGAGAGAAAAGGGTGAAATTACAGTTCGTCCTCTACTATTCTAATTAGCCCTATGGTAAGGTACCTATAATGGTGTATTGTACACATATTATTCTTCATATATATCAAGGCAGGATATGTCAAGATGCCTCAAGGATTGGTAAGTTAGCCCTTCTTTCTCTATTCATGTTGACTACTAGATCAATACCATACCTTTCTATGACTTTACCGGAAAATAAGCCCTGAATTCCCCATTATCAAGGGAACGAAGCAATAATTATATCAAATGTAGATATGTTCAAACTCATCAAGCAATCATTAAATATTTTCAAATGGATCATTGATTCCAGTAAAGTATATGGTTATGTTTGAACCTTACCCTAAGCAGTCTGAAGGAGAAGCAAATCAATTGCCATCTAGGAAAACTTTAAAATACTTAGGTCAAAACTAGTAAAAATATGAAAGAGATGAGTGTAAAAGCAGTTTATGTCTTCCCAACTTGGAAAAGAGATATTTTAATTTAGTGATATAATCTTTCCACTATTCATGAAAACTACGATCTTCAGGAAAGGCATTTATATTCTGCTACAGTATTTCAATTTCTGGATCATCAAAATTGTTTTTAGAAGACAATTTGTGGCTGAAATGAAATCATCAATGTTCAAATTTCTTTCAGTCTTTCCTATCAAATTCACTACAGAAAAGAGTCAATCTGCTTAGAAAGCAAAATGGCAAACCTAATTATCATCACTTAACTTCACAGCGACGGGAGCATAGCTTAAAGTACAAAAAGTTTTAATGATACGACACCAGATGCACTTTTCCTCTGGGAATGGATAATTTTTAGTCATTATACATAATCTCTCTTCTCTTCATACTTTTTTTGTTTCTAGGTTTGAGGTGAAGGAAATTACTTTGTCAGTAGGGAAGAAAGTATTCAGATATATACATTTATGCAATAAAGAATTCAACTTAGAAATGATACTTTTGGAATTTAATTTTAAGCTTTGAACATAAAGTTTACCACATGTCATAGATGGACTTTTTTTTTTTTTTTTTTTTTTTTATCGAGTCTGGTGTTTCTAGTGCCCATATTTCCCATATGTCCTTGGTAAATAATGATCATTTCACATTTCAGTGGCAGAAGTAATAAAATGCCTATTTAAATTCTTATCATTCCAAATCTTTTAAAACACTATTTTCAAGTTTCATCAAGTATAGAAACTATTGGAGTAACTTTCTGAAGGACTCATAATTATTCCTTCTTTTCCTACTCATAGCCTATGGGCATCTTTTCCATCCTGGAAGAGGAGTGCATGTTCCCCAAGGCCACAGACACCTCTTTCAAGAACAAACTGTATGAACAGCATCTTGGAAAGTCCAACAACTTCCAGAAGCCCAAGCCTGCCAAAGGCAAGCCTGAGGCCCACTTCTCCCTGGTTCACTATGCTGGCACCGTGGACTACAACATTGTTGGCTGGCTCGACAAGAACAAGGACCCCCTGAACGAGACTGTGGTTGGGCTGTACCAGAAGTCTGCAATGAAGACTCTGGCTTTCCTCTTTGCTGGGGGACCAAGTGCTGATGCAGGTAATATTTAATAGCATCAATATCTTCCAAGAGTCACTCATACACAAAAATACGCTATTTATCTGAGGCAGAATGTAGTTATAGAAAAACCTAACAATGAAAATACTGACCAAAGTGGATTTAATGAAAGGAAGTATATTTAGCAAGTGTGGCACTGTCCTAAAATCATAAAATTTCAGAACTAAAAATTGATAGAATGAATCATTCAGTTCCAGTAACCTCACTCCACCAGTGAGAAATGAAAGACTCAAAAAGGTTAAGTGACTTGCTCAAGATATAACTCATTACTACCATTTTAATAGTATTTGTTTCTTCGAGGATCCTGCTAAGTTGAAGATGAAGCAGTCCTATGTTAGGGCACTAGTGCTTGAGGAAATGAAAGTTCTGTTCTCTTGAGTAGACTTGAAGTGCAAGTAACAATATGGGAGCATAGCAACGCAGGTCATAGGGCTTATCTGCAGAGGCTCATCTACCTGGAGTTAAGCATGCAACTCGCCTGTTCTCTGGAGAGGGGGCAGTGCACCATGGAGGCATTATAACTTTGCCTCCTGGGCACTTCCTTCAGGGAACTGACTTTGCTGATTTGGAGTAGGGCAATCCCATACTCCTTTCATACACACAAACATCTACCCTTTTCACTCATAATCTTTTTTCCTGATGCCTATAATGTGAGTAGTTTACATTTTTTTTCTTTTTTTTCCCAAATTTTATTTATTTTGTTGTTGAAAATATACACAGCAAAACATACACCAATTCAACACGTTGTACATGTAAAATTCAGTGGCACTGATTGCATTCTTCAAGTTGTGCAACCATTCTCCCCCTCCTTTCCTGGGATAGTCCTCCCTTATTAACATACACTCACTGCCCTTAATCTTTCAAGTTGCTATTCCCAAATTGATCCCATATAAATAGTTCTTAAAAAAGCATAATGCTCAAAGTAGACATTTTTTACTAGTCATGCTAAACTACTATTTGGTTTTAAGAAGACTTCAGGGATGTTTTCTTTTCAGGTTTAGTAAGATAATCTCAGAGCAATAGTTTTAGGTGTTCATCCACCCTACATGGTTCCAGAATTCCTGGAGTCCATAAAAATTTGAAATTCTGTCATTCCTTTTCCCCCTTTTAATCAGTATTCTCCTGTGGAATCTTTGATCAAAATGTTCAGTGATGATAGCGGGCACCATCCAGTTCTTTTGGCCTCATGACAAAGGAAGCAGTTGTTCCTGGAGGCAATTAGCCACACATTCTATATCCTAATGTTATTCCTGACTCTCCTTCTTCCTCTGTTGCTTCAGGTGAATAGAGACCAATTGTTGTGCCCAGGCTGGCAACTTGCAAGCTTTTAAGATCCCAACCACTATGCAATTAACTAGGTGATAGAATAGAAGCACTCTTTTTATTTATTTATTTATTTATTTATTTATTTAATAGAAGCACTCTTACTCTATAGTTGGAAAAGGAGAGATATGGAAAGGAGGATAAGAGTACCACACATGAATGAGTGCAAATTTAAATTGCAAGGAGAATTTTAGCACTCCTCATGTGTATGATAGTACTAAAAAGGCTGCTGCAAATAATTTTAAATTTTCTATTTCATTTTTCAGAGGGTGGTGGTGGAAAGAAAGGTGGCAAGAAGAAGGGTTCTTCTTTCCAGACGGTGTCTGCTCTTTTCAGGGTACAGTATATTCTTGAATTTCAAATGAATACTTTTATAAAATAATAATAATAATAACTGGAAAGAAAAAATGGTAATGTCCTAACAAACTAAAAAAATGCTGTCAAAATTTTAACAAAAATAAGACCTATAGTGTTCCTTTAAATCAAACATTAAGATGAATGAACCATTTTCCTTTTAAGCCTCAAATCTGAGAGATCTGCTATGGAACAAATTTCACAGGAAACTGAAACCACTATATTCAGTTAAATCTATCCCACATGACCAAAGTCTCAATGCAAATGTTCTCTGACTGGCTGTCAGAATAATACACTGATGCTAACTGGTTTTTGTGTAACCCATAATTTCCTACCTTATACTCTATTTGTATGGCTTCTCTTGGCTTTCCTGATTTGTCCATCACTGAGATAGCTCACTAAAATGCAAAATAGTGGCATGATCAACTATGGATGATTGATAGGGACTCTCACATGGATGCAATAAGAAATTACTTTAAAATGTTTCATATGGTTTTATAGGAGAATTTAAATAAGTTGATGACCAATTTGAGGAGCACTCACCCCCACTTTGTACGCTGTATCATTCCCAACGAGACTAAAACTCCTGGTAAGATATTTCTGATATCCAAATAGCCTCTAGTATGACTTCCCATTCAACTATTATAAAGAAAACTTGTCTTTTTTCTTTAGGTGCCATGGAGCATGAACTCGTGCTGCACCAGCTGAGGTGTAATGGTGTGCTTGAAGGCATCCGCATCTGTAGGAAGGGATTCCCCAGCAGAATTCTTTATGCAGACTTCAAACAGAGGTTTGTGTCCCTTTTGTTTATCCTCTATTTTTCCCTTTCAATATCATAGTCCATGTCAAAATCACATAATCAAAATCACCATGTTCAAATATTTTCAAATTTTCCCCTGAAAACTGAAATAAAGTTATGTGAAAGTGACTGTAAAAGAAAGAAGACCTAGTTTATATTATGATAAGTTTTTCATTATATCTTTCCTATTTTGGATAAAGCACTGTTTGATTTTTTAATAGCATTTTGCTCTGCAAAACTCAATGTATGTCATTTCATTAATGACTACCCAGAGTTCTACCTTTTTTTTTTTTTAAAGAAGAAAATTACATTTTTGTATTTTTTTTTTTTTCTGACAGATACAAGGTTCTAAATGCAAGTGCTATCCCAGAGGGTCAGTTCATTGACAGCAAGAAGGCTTCTGAGAAACTTCTAGGGTCCATTGACATTGACCACACTCAGTACAAATTTGGTCATACCAAGGTACTATCAAAAGAAATTTTTATCTATAATAATTTCATTTTTGGACTTTCTCGTGAGTAGAAATAACACGTTTTACTTGTACCCTGGCCAGGTTTTCTTTAAAGCTGGCTTGCTGGGAACACTAGAGGAAATGCGAGATGACAAACTGGCTCAACTCATCACACGCACTCAAGCCAGGTGCAGAGGGTTCCTGATGAGGGTGGAATTCAGAAAGATGATGGAGAGGAGGTGAGACACTAAGCACAAGTCTTTCACTACAGTTTCAAGTTGAATCCAATGGATCATCACTTTTATTGAATGCACACTTTTCACATTCTTTTTCATTTGTATCATTTTTTGTTTTCCTACAGAGAGTCTATCTTCTGCATCCAGTACAATGTCCGTGCCTTCATGAATGTGAAGCACTGGCCCTGGATGAAGCTGTATTTCAAGATCAAGCCTCTCCTCAAGAGTGCAGAGACTGAGAAGGAGATGGCCAACATGAAGGAAGACTTTGAGAAGACCAAAGAAGAGCTGGCTAAGTCAGAGGCGAAAAGGAAGGAACTGGAAGAAAAAATGGTATCTCTGATGCAAGAGAAAAATGACTTGCAACTCCAAGTTCAATCTGTGAGTATTACATATTTCAGTTTTACCACATCTTATTATACTGGCTGACTAGATTGAAGAATTTTTTAAGTTTAGGTTTATAAATAAGTGATTCCTCTAAAACATTTTTTTTATAATTCAGTTCACTTTCCCTAAATATTAAGCCTTACATCTAAAGATGGAATAGATGCAAAGTCACATACTATGCTGGATATATTAATGTTGTTGTTGTTGTTATGTGCCGTCGAGTCGGCCCCGACTCATAGCGACCCCTCCTTGGGTTTCCAAGGCAGTATCACTACGGAAGTAGGATTGCCCAACCTTCCTTCCGAGGAGTGGCTGGTGGGTTTGAACCGCCAGCTTTCTGGTTAGCAGTCAAGTGCTTTAGCCACTATGCTACCAGAGAGGATATATTAATATATGAATTAATTCATACATACTTTAGTCATCAGTGAGGAAAGTCATAAAAATATCCCTACACATTTTCTTTTCTTTATAGAACATTTTCTTAGGCTAAGTTATTCTCTCCTTACTAAATATTTTTGCACAGAAAATAGAAATTATGTTCTTTTATCAGGGCAGAGAAAAAGTTAAATTAATCCTCCACCTAAATGTTAAGGAAACTGTGTATCAGGATGAATGTACACCTCTTCCAACGTAGCAGATGTTAATAAATTTCAAATTTTTGCTGAAAGGATGGTTTTTATAATTTGGCCGTCCACAAGTGGATATTTGGAGTAAATCTAGTACTATACTTAATCAATTGATTGAAATTATTAAAATTTTATGTACTTGATTTTTAAAAGTTGGCAAATGAGTTAACTAAACTGAGTCATTAAAGTTTCTCCCTTTTCATAAATTAATGTTTGCACATATAGATAGCTTAAATGAAAATGTTTATTTCACCCTTTAGGAATCAGATGCCTTGGCTGATGCAGAGGAAAGGTGTGAACAACTAATTAAAAACAAAATCCAGCTCGAGGCCAAAGTCAAAGAGGTGACTGAGAGAGCTGAGGATGAGGAAGAGATCAATGCTGAGCTGACGGCCAAGAAGAGGAAACTGGAGGATGAATGTTCAGAGCTCAAGAAAGACATTGATGACCTTGAGCTGACACTGGCCAAGGTTGAAAAGGAAAAACATGCCACAGAGAACAAGGTACAAATCAAGTACTAACATTTCACTAAAGTATTGTAATTGAAAGGTTCATCAAAATTGTGGAATAGGAAGCAAAATAATGTCATATGATGTCATCTCCTTTATTATTCTCAATCATTTTTTGTCTATTAACTTGACCATCATCTCTTATTTATTTCAGCCACATAGGCTTAACTTCTTCCTCAGACTGACATTGTTCTAAAAATTTACCATGTTTTTCAAGATAACAGGATGTGTCATTTATATTCCTATCATCTCTTAAAAACTAAAAAGGTGAAAAACCTCACAGAGGAGATGGCAAACCTGGATGAAAACATCGCAAAGCTGACCAAGGAGAAGAAAGCCCTTCAAGAGGCCCACCAACAGACCCTGGATGACCTACAGGCAGAGGAAGACAAAGTAAACACCCTAACCAAAGCTAAAACCAAGCTGGAGCAGCAAGTGGATGACGTGAGTTTGAAAAACAAAATGTTTTCCCTTAAGAAGAAATAAACAGTTATAGCATGAAACCATCACCGATGTTCACAAACCTTCATCTACTGGTTTTATAAATGACAACTCAAATCTCATGCTATTTATTATACCTTTTAAAATTTCCTTGCTTATGTTTAAAGGCTAGTGCCATAGAGCTCAGGGGTTAAAAATCAAATAACTACAATCCATTACAAATATAGCTTGAAGGGTCTCTGGAACAAGAAAAGAAACTTCGCATGGACTTAGAAAGAGCCAAGAGAAAACTGGAGGGTGACCTAAAATTGGCCCAAGAATCCACAATGGATATCGAAAATGACAAACAGCAACTTGATGAGAAACTCAAAAAGTAAGTATGATATAATTCAATTATTCTTGCTTATTATTGACAATTCAGATAGAATATGTTTTAATATGTCTCTAAAATATTATTTCAATGCATGCCAAGAATGCTTAAGGACATCTCTGGCTTTGTTAGTTGATGAAACTGGCATATTATTCACTTTAAAGAATGTACTACTCACTTCCCAATACCAGGGGTATAAAGACATTTGATTATACATACAAAAGACGGCTGGTAAGAGAATTCACTGTAAGCTAATGTGTTGCTCCTCTAATAGGAAAGAGTTTGAAATGAGCAATCTGCAAAGCAAGATTGAAGATGAACAGGCCCTTGCTATGCAGCTGCAGAAGAAAATCAAGGAGTTACAAGTAAGGCATAACCTCCACCTTTTCTGGGCATCATTACAGGAACCCAGATTGCCATGAATTTATATTAATGTTTACACAACACTTGATCCCAGGCCCGCATTGAGGAACTGGAGGAGGAAATCGAGGCAGAACGGGCCTCCCGGGCCAAAGCCGAGAAGCAGCGCTCTGACCTCTCCCGGGAACTGGAGGAGATCAGTGAGCGACTGGAAGAAGCTGGAGGGGCAACTTCAGCCCAGATTGAGATGAACAAGAAGAGAGAGGCTGAGTTCCAGAAAATGCGCAGGGACCTGGAGGAGGCCACCCTGCAGCATGAGGCCACTGCAGCTGCTCTTCGGAAGAAGAACGCGGACAGCATGGCTGAGCTCGGGGAACAGATTGACAACCTGCAGAGGGTCAAACAGAAGCTGGAGAAGGAGAAGAGCGAACTGAAGATGGAGATTGATGACCTTGCTAGTAACATGGAGACTGTCTCCAAAGCCAAGGTCTTTATTGACTTGTCCCCTTTTCTTCTCTTTTTGTAATGATGCAGAATGATCAAGTGTATATATGCGGGTTTCTAGTCTAACTGCACAAAATTTAGGTGTCATCTCAACTTTAAAAATCGTTCCTCATAGGCATCATTGTATTAAATTGAATCATTTCTGTCTTCTTATCTTATTTGTGGAAATCACTTTAAACTTTGTCACTGTTACGAAGAAATAATACAATTACAAGAAAAGCATACTTATGTAAAAAACATATTCTACAAAAAAACAAAAACCGAACTCATTGCTGTTGAGTCAGATCCGACTCATAGCCACCCCTCCTTGGGTTTCCGAGGCAGTATCACTATGGAAATAGACTGCCCAATCTTCCTTCTGAGGAGTGGCTGGTGGGTTTGAACTCTCAGCCTCCTGGTTAGCAGTCAGGTCTTAGGCACTACACCACCAGAGCTCCTATACTCTATGCAAGGCAGAATTTAAATAACGTTCATGTTTTCCAAAAGAAAGTAATCTAACTTCCACTCACTCATTCATTTAGCCAAAAATTACATACCTCTACTACTTCCAAAGTACTCCGCAGGGCTTTGAAGTAGATAGAAACTCGGCACCTTTCCACAAGCAGTTATAGATCTCCAAATAGAAATGTATTGCCATTTTCTTTTTCTATCTGCCACCACAGGGAAACCTCGAGAAAATGTGCCGCAGCCTAGAGGACCAGCTTAGTGAAGTGAAAACAAAGGAAGAAGAGCAACAACGTTTAATAAATGAGTTGTCTATCCAGAAGGCACGTTTACACACCGAATCAGGTCAGTGAATGAGTATGAGCAGCCTCTAGAGAGGTGAAGAAGGAGAGGAGAACCTCCACCTATTTTTATCTATCATAGCAAGCACAGATAGACAAGCACGCGCACTTATCATTCCTTACTTACTCCTTCATCTTTTTAGTGGGATGGTCAAAAGTAATGACTATAAGCAATAATTAGGAGAAAAAATTAAGCTCTCTGGGCTGAGGACACTTTTGTTATCTTAGCATTACTCAAAAAAAAAAAAAAAACTTAACTCCTAAAATATCAAAGAAAGCTCAGAAATTTTTGAAAAAGTAAGAAATAAACTCAACATTAAATAAATAAACTCAACATTTTTATCATGTGAAATAAGGGAGTCTAATATTCTTATTTTAAAAAACTTTTTCTTTTCCCAGACAACAGAACTAAATTGTTCATGTTTTGTCTTCCACAGGAGAATTTTCACGACAGCTAGATGAGAAAGATGCTCTGGTTTCTCAACTCTCCCGAGGTAAACAAGCATTTACACAACAGATCGAGGAATTAAAGAGGCAACTAGAAGAGGATTCTAAGGTGAGAATTCTCCAGTTGATACTGTCAGTTGCTTAAACTGAACAGCATGACCCACCATTGAACTTCACATGGACAATATCAATGATTGGAAGATAAATATATCACACATGTTTTGGTTGATCTAGGCCAAGAATGCCCTGGCACATGCCCTACAGTCAGCTCGTCATGACTGTGACCTGCTACGGGAACAATATGAAGAGGAGCAGGAAGCCAAGGCTGAGCTTCAGAGGGCAATGTCTAAGGCCAACAGTGAGGTTGCCCAGTGGAGGACCAAATATGAGACGGATGCCATTCATCGCACAGAGGAGCTGGAGGAGGCCAAGTATGGATTTCCAGTGAGAGGGAAGAAAGAAAGAAAAGTTACAAAACACTCAAGGAAAATTAGAGAGAAAAGGGAATATTCTAGACATAAGGATAAGTGAAGGATTTCAGCCTATTTGATTGTAGAGTGGCAGGTTCCAACATGTTATTTTTACAGCCCAATGTATGTCAAGTAAAGAGTGAGACAAGATGAGATCCCTCCTCCCATTATGGTCTATTAATACAGCATCTTAAATTTCTTTCTACCAAGATAAATTACTAATTATCAGCATACCCATTATGAATTAAGTAGAATTAATTTCCCTTAATATAAGAAAAAAATAGAGATAGTTGAGACCATCTGGCACATTGTTAGGAGTTCTGGTAGCGTAGTGCCTAAGGCATTTGACTGCTAACCAGAAGGCTGGAGGTTCAAACCCACCAGCCACTCCTCAGAAGGAAGTTTGGGCAGTCTACTTCCGTAGTGACACTGCCTCAGAAACCCAAGGAGGCTATATGAGTCAGATCCAACTTCACGGCAGTGGGTTGGTTGGTTGGGTTGGTACATTGTTATGAATGCTATAATTAACAATAACCATTTTTTCCTTACTGGAATGTTGAAAAGTCCCAAATAGGACTACCTACCACACCCTGTTATCATTTAATTAAGTCAGAATCAATGGATTTATTCAAAGTGTAATTACACAAATTGTGGAATAAAACTCATGAGCATTATACATGGGAGGAAAATAACTCTATATTCCCAGTGAAAAAAGGCTTCCTAAATTTGATTTATCTCAGTAGTTATTACAGTTAAACGGAGAAGGGTGGGCAATAATTTATAGAAGAAACATTCTAGATAAGAGTGTTGACTAGTAAAGAGAGCAGTGAGTAGGACTTCAGAGAATATTTGGGAAGTATCATCATAAAAAAAGAAAAACCAAACTCACTGCCATCAAGTTATTTCCGACTCCTAGCGTCACCCATTTGGGTTTCCGAGGTTGTAAATCTTTACAGAAGTAAATCACCCCATCTTCCTTCCACAGAGTGGCTGGTGGGTTTGAACTGCTGACTTCTAGTTAGCAATCATAATGGGACAATATTTATTGTGTAGGATCACCAAACCCAGAAAGTTACTGATTAATTGTATGACCTTGAACATTTCACTCTGGGCTACAGTTATCTCATCTGTAAGGTAAAGAGGATCATAGAAAATGTTTGAAGATACTATTCAGTACTAACATTCTTTGATGATATGCCTCCTCTTCACGGTTATCACTTCTCATCTTTCCATTGCTTACTCAGGCTTATTCATTTATTCTCTCTCTCTCTCTCTCCCTGCCTCTCTCTCTCACACACACACACAAACAGTGGCATCATCATAAATATGTTTGACAACCCCTGTGATAAAGATAACAAGTCATTAGAGAAAACAGAATTCTAGAAGAGATAAAATAGGTACCAAGAAACTATATTTTAAAAGCTTAACAATTGTGGACATAAAAGGAAAAAAAAAAATGTTGAGGAAAATATGGTTTCCTAGTCACCTGCTTTATAAAATTCCCTGTGGTAACTCTGATTCTGCACTTGGTCATTCACACTAACTCTTCAGGAAGAAGCTGGCCCAGCGTCTGCAGGATGCTGAGGAGCATGTGGAAGCTGTGAATGCCAAATGTGCTTCCCTTGAAAAGACAAAGCAGCGGCTCCAGAATGAAGTGGAAGACCTCATGATTGATGTAGAAAGATCGAATGCTGCCTGCGCGGCTCTTGATAAGAAACAAAGGAACTTTGACAAGGTAACCCATAATAACTGTCTCCCTAGGGGGAAGTTGGTATGATTCTTGGTTATGGAGGCTTAATAACAATTTACTGACAGATCCTGGCAGAATGGAAACAGAAGTATGAGGAAACTCAGGCTGAACTTGAGGCCTCCCAGAAGGAGAGTCGTTCTCTCAGCACTGAGCTGTTCAAGGTGAAGAATGCTTATGAGGAATCCCTTGACCACCTTGAAACTCTGAAGCGAGAGAATAAGAACATACAGCGTGAGTCTCTCTAATCATTCTATCTCCAAAAAATTGTAGCGAGGTACTTTTTTAATTTTTCAAAATTCTCAACTGAATTTTGTTATTTTCTTATTGAAACTGCAGAGGAGATTTCTGACCTGACTGAGCAAATTGCAGAAGGAGGAAAGCATATTCATGAATTGGAGAAAGTAAAGAAACAGATTGATCAAGAGAAGAGTGAGCTACAGGCGGCCCTAGAGGAAGCAGAGGTACATGCTTCATTTACTCACCTATTTATCACAGATAAATTGTAAAATTTCATAGCACTTGAGATCTATTTTGTTGTAAACTTAAAGGAAAAATATGCAATACATTGAGATATATGGAATTGTTCCTTGGAAATATAAAACTAATAGGCTATATTATGGATGTATGGAAGGTTGCTAGTTTTCTTTTAATGCCTCCTTGAAGAAATCATCATAATGTACAAGAATATATACCCTTGAGGTAACATAAATGTCTGCTTCTATTAAGGCATCTCTTGAACATGAGGAAGGCAAAATTCTTCGTGTCCAGCTTGAGTTAAATCAAGTGAAATCTGAGATCGACCGCAAAATTGCTGAGAAAGATGAAGAAATTGATCAGCTGAAGAGGAACCATCTCAGAGTTGTGGAGTCAATGCAGAGCACACTGGATGCTGAGATCAGGAGCAGGAATGATGCCCTAAGGATCAAGAAGAAGATGGAAGGAGACCTCAATGAAATGGAAATCCAGTTGAACCATGCCAACCGCCAGGCTGCTGAGGCAATAAGGAATCTTAGAAACACACAAGGAATACTGAAGGTATGTTGGGCAAACACACATGATGTCATATAACTCAGATTTTAGTATTTTAGGATTATATGCTATCAATAAACTACAGATAAACACTGTCAGACATTTTTTTCTTTTGCAACTTTAGGTTGCAAACATATAGTAGTAGATTGATATATGCATATAATTGAAAGAAAATTTAATTCTGGAAGTTTCAGGGTAAAATTTACTTTGTTATCTGAAGAGAAACAGAGCATTGAGGGATGGGGAGAAAGAGGAAGTGACTAGAGAGTTTAGCTACATAACATTGCTAAAATCATTTATTTACCTGAAGTTATTTATTAAATAAATAAATAAATAGGTTTAACAAGCTTATCTCTAAGGATACATTCCTGATCCAAAATTCTGTAAATTTGGCCATGGTATTTTCCTATGATTCAGGATCTAAAGTAATATCACATTGTGTTCTTTTGAGTAGAGCTGCCCTAGGCTTCAAAGAATATATCATTAAAAGGTAGTTACAGATTGTTCCTACCTAATCATACCCTAAGTTATTGAGACCTAAGTATGTACATGACCCTACATTTGTATTCATTTTAACTGGAGCATGAGTAAGAGTCTTTTCTCTGTCTCTGTAGGACACTCAGTTACACTTGGATGATGCCATCAGAGGCCAAGATGACCTTAAAGAGCAACTAGCTATGGTTGAGCGCAGAGCTAACCTACTGCAGGCCGAGGTTGAGGAGCTAAGAGAATCCCTGGAACAGACTGAGAGGAGCAGGAAGGTGGCAGAACAAGAGCTTTTGGATGCCAGTGAGCGTGTGCAACTCCTGCACACCCAGGTGAGGTTCTGGATTATAGTTTAGTTTTATACTCCCTAAAGCTGAAGACTATTTGAGAAGATAAGACTGTTTATGAAGTAATGAGCATCTTGGCACTGGCCCCTTCCTAGAGTTCTGAAAAATATATAGAGTGAATATACAGAGTGTCAACGGTTGATACTGGGCCCTAGCTGACTCATACATATATTTTGGGGTTGGCATAATCATGTTGATTAGAGATAATCTAGAGTTCTAGAAACTTTCACAGAGAACCACAGAAGACCACCTATTAATAATCATACACATACATACACAACATTGTCAGACATCTTGTCTTTTGCAACTCTAAGCTCAAATAGATAGGCAAATAAAATAGAGGAAACAGAATAGGCTGCCAAATGCACTTACATATCACTTATGCACATAAGGCTATCTTCATGGGATATAAGCAGAAATTTTAAGTTCAACTTCACATTGTTAGGTGTCATTGAGCCAGTTTCAACTCATAGCGAGCCTATGTATAACTGAATGAAACACTGCCTGGTCAGTCCTGTGCCATCCTCATAAATTGTTGCCATGCTTGAGCCCATCATTGCAGCCACTGTGTCAATCCATCGTGTTGAGAGTCTTCCCCTTTTTCACTGACCCTCTACAGTATGAGGGACGAAATTTGGCCCTTCTTGCTTCTAAGGAGCATTCCATCTATACTTGCTCCAAGACAAATTTGTTCATTCTTCTAGCAGTCCATGGTACATTCAATATTCTTTGCCAACACCACATTTCAAAAGCATCGATTCTTCTGTAGTCTTCCTTATTCATTGTCCAGTTCTCATATGCATATAAACTCAAAAAACAAACAAACAAAACAAAAAAACTCACTGCCATCGAGTTGATTCTGACTCATAGCGACCTTTCCCTGGGTTTCCAAGGTGATATCTCTATGGAAGTTGCTGCTGACCTGGAAGCATCTTCTTCTGGTCAGCAGTCAAATGCCTTATACACTACACCACCAGAGCTCCCTTTACATATAAAGTGACTGAAAATACTATGGCGTGGGTCAGATGCACCTTAGTCTTCAAAGTGACATCTTTACTCTTTAACACTTTAAAGAGTTATTCTGCAACAGATTTCATGAGTTATGCGGTGCTATATGCTAATGCCTTAAAATTATTTGGGTTATTCTTTATGCTTACAAGCACCCACTGATATTAATCAAGTATGTTTAGTATTAATATTAAATTAATTTTTATTAACAGAGATATGCAAAGAGAGAAAAGAAGATATAATCTTAGAATTAACTTCTGATTTGGTTTTTATTTTGAACACCACTTATTATGACCAACAACTTATGACATATATACTTGTTAAAATGACAATGTGAATATTTATAATTAAATACATCTCTATTCTTTTTTTTCTCCCCCACTAATTTGAAACAGAACACCAGTCTAATCAACACCAAAAAGAAGCTGGAAACAGACATTTCCCAAATACAGGGAGAGATGGAAGACATTATCCAGGAAGCACGCAATGCAGAAGAGAAGGCCAAGAAGGCCATCACCGATGTGAGTGGAAGACATCACCATGGTGGTCAAACTTGAATGCTGATGTGCCATATCACCTCTCTTAACTGATTTTGTTTTATTGGTAACTAGGCAGCCATGATGGCTGAGGAGCTAAAGAAGGAGCAGGACACCAGCGCCCACCTGGAGCGGATGAAAAAGAACCTGGAACAGTCAGTGAAGGATCTGCAGCACCGTCTGGATGAGGCTGAGCAGCTGGCCCTGAAGGGGGGCAAGAAGCAGATCCAGAAACTGGAGGCCAGGGTGGGTCCTCCACCACTTCATTCAATTGCCAGCCTTTTCATGTGTCTGTTGTTGTTGTTGTTACGTGCCATCGAGTCGGCCCTGACTCATAGAAACCCCCTCCTTGGGTTTCCAAGGCAGTATCACTACGGAAGTAGGATTGCCCAACCTTCCTTCCGAGGAGTGGCTGGTGGGTTTGAACCGCCAGCCTTCTGGTTAGCAGTCGAGTGCTTTAGCCACTATGCTACCAGAGCATGTGGCTAGTTATAGCCAAATTGCTAAGCACCTTTGTTTTCTTCCAGGTAAGGGAGCTTGAAAATGAGGTTGAAAATGAACAGAAGCGCAATGTTGAAGCTGTCAAAGGTCTTCGCAAACACGAGAGAAGAGTGAAGGAACTCACTTATCAGGTGACCAGCCTTTTCTTATTTTCCAGGCCTATTTCTTTTAAGAAAATAAAAATGATGAGTTGTGTTCAAATAATAATACTATCTATTTGCTACTTCTTTCAGACTGAGGAGGACCGCAAGAATGTTCTCCGGTTGCAGGACTTAGTGGACAAATTACAAAGCAAGGTTAAAGCATACAAGAGACAAGCTGAAGAGGCTGTAAGTATTTTCATAGTGAGAAAAGTTCAAGAGCAGATCCAGGTTTTTGTGGAGCCTGACACAACTTAAGGGGCCTTTTCTAAGGCAAGGAACACAAAACTATGAGCACAAAATTAGTTATAGAAATTAATATCTATTCAGAATGAGAAAAAATTATCACAAATTACCAGTTCAAACCCACCAGCCACTCCTCGGGAGGAAGATGGGGCAATCTACTTCTGTAGTGATACTGCCTCGGAAACCCAAGGAGGGGTCGCTATGAGTCAGATCCAACACATAACAACAACAACATTCAGAATGAGAAAAAATTATCACAAATTACCAGAGTCTTAGAGTTTCAGATTAATTTCTTCTGAGCCCTTCTAAGAAATTTTCCACACATGTTAACACAGAAATGTTTCTTGGTTGCAACCCTGTTCCCTCTCTATCTTAAATACTCTGCAACTCCCAGCAATTCTCAGTCTATATACAGGCCTGTACAAATGAGTGCTCTGAAGTCTAAGCCTCTTTAACTTAATAACAAATCCATCTCAGGAATGGTTGCTTTTTTTTTTTTTTTTAATTTTATTTTGATTTGGGTGAAGATTTACAGAGCAAATTCACTTTTCATACAGCAGTTCACATATACTTTGTCTCATGTCATTGACCACAATTTACCACAATGCAACAGCTGCTTTTTTAAAATTTATTTTTTAATGTGACTGACATTATCATTCTTGTCTTGTTAATTCTGAAACCTTCCTTAAGGTTCTCTGCACTCAATACCATCACTACACAAAGTTTATTCTAGAGAAAAAAGATTAATTCAGATACCTGAAACTCTCCCTGTTGTCACTGTAGCATTTTAAGCTCTCCAGGAAGAGAGCCAGGGGAAAGGGAGTTGGGAGGGGAGTTATAAGCCCACTCACTGATACAAGTGAGTTTCTGGGATGCTCTGCCTTACAAAAACTATGTCACCATATAACATAATCATTTGTTTCCTCATCCTGGAAGCAAATATTATATCTAAGTTAGTAGCAGAAGCAGTAAAAATCAGAAAATGTAACATTTTCTTGTTCTCTCAAATGAATTTCTGTTCTCAGGAGGAACAATCTAATGTCAACCTTGCCAAGTTCCGCAAGATCCAACACGAACTCGAGGAGGCTGAGGAACGGGCTGACATTGCCGAGTCCCAGGTCAACAAGCTGCGAGTGAAGAGTCGGGAAGTTCACACAAAAGTCATAAGTGAAGAGTAATTCAGTGTAATACTGAATGTTGACCAAAGAAATGCGCAAAATGTGAAGTTCTTGGTCACTGTCTTGTAATATCAAGGAAATAAAATACGCAGAGAATTTTGCAATCTAAAAACACCCTATTAGTCAAAAACTTTATAAGAACAGTGGGAGAAAGATGTGGCAGTCTGCTTCCATAAAGATTTACAGCCTTGGAAATCCTGTGAGGCAGTTCCACTCTGTCCTCTAGGAATGGTATCGTAGGAATCAGCCTGTTGGCAACACAGTTTACTAGGGGTTTTACTAGAACAAGTTCGTTTATTCAACACCTGTTAAGTTTCTACTGTGAGCAATCAGAGATGATGACAAAAATAAATGTGGGCAGTGAAAAAAGTTTGATAGAGGGCAAATGAAATAAAGTTCTCTGAGAGGATGCAAAGTTGATTAATAGACTCTCAGTTCCATTCAGCCGATTTTATTGAGTACCAAGTATGTATCTGGTACAGAAACAGGCACCAAGAATATGACAATCTGTCCTGCCTTCAAGAATCTCTACCTAGTGGAGGAGACAGAAATTCAAACAGATTATGGTACAGCATATGCCCTCTGATAAAAGTATGAAAGCAAAGTGTGGCAATACATAAAGGAAGCTGCTAAACTGGGTAATCCATAGGGCTTCTCAAAGGAAACTATGAGCTGGCTCCTAAAAAATGGCAAGACAGTTATCAGATGAAAAAGAAGAGAGGATGGGCATTCCAAGAAAACAGACATGAGAGTACAGATTAGTTTAGCATAGGTGTCATGAGCAGAGGGCAGCAGATGAGGCCAGAGATAGAAGTTAAAGCCTGACTGTGAAAGGTACTACCCCACATGCAGTGCTATGAATTAGGATATGCATCAGACTGGTTACATTTAGTGGTAAGGAGAGTTGACACAATTCTGGTAGCAGTGTGGAGGATGGAATAGGATGAGAAAGACCAGTTTAGAAGGCCATTGAAGTGGTCCAAATTAGAGATGATGGTGATAGAAATGAATGACAAAGAAGAGTTCTAATATTCCTGTAAAGAAAGGGTTGGGAAAGCACTAGAGAAGTTAAACAGTGTCACATCATTCAAACCTTGCAGTTACTTTATCATTATAAATATTATTTCCTTTTGGAGGATATTATTTTCTTCTAAACTTTTTCCTCTCCAAGAAAAAGGACAGAACTTTTTAGTTAATCTTCCTGTTAACCTTCCAATTTCTTTATAGAATTCTGCTTACCAAGAAGCCTTCTTTTTCTCAGTACTTAATATATTTTACACTTGACTGCTAACCAGAAAGCTGGCGGTTCAAACCCACCAGCCACTCTTTGGAAGGAAGATGGGGCAATCTACTTCCGTAGTGATACTGCCTCGGAAACCACATAACAACAACAACAACAACAACAACAAATATATTTTAAGAAAGATCCAGAAAGGGAATATGGCTACAATTTTAATATAGTCATTGCCAGGGGATTTTTTTTCTTTGGTATCTTCTTAAAGCTTCATTGTGGGGATATGTAAAAAAAAAAAAAAAAAAAATAGAATACTAGTTTATTCTTTGACAGTGGTGAAAATCCATTTCTAATGAGGACACTGCTTTGGGAAATCTCCATTTCTAGTGTGAGAATTCTAATTAGTAATGAGAAGCTTTCTTCATGAGAACAGAATTTTTAAAAGAATATACGTATGAGAAATCTTTCACCTATGCCATAATTAAGAGCAAAGAAATATTCCTGCCCAGAGTAGGTATTGATTATGAAATTTTAATTACACTCTGTAGAGTTAATCTATTGACTTCAAAAGAACCAGGTAATTGCTTTATCATTCTACCTCCTAACTATTTAAATAATTGGTTATGTAGAAAGTTGAGAATGGAGTCCATTATATATGAGTCAGTTATTCTTAGTTCCCTGATTAAAGTAGCAAGGATTTAGATCAAAACTATTCTGGTTAATATTTCTTCCTTATCTTGTCACAGACTAGAAGATTTGTTGACTTATTTCCTTACCTATTATAACAAAGTCCTTATCTACCATTATCTAGGACTGCTTATAATACTCTTCACCTTTTCTTTAACTTATATGAAGGATCATTGAGATTTGGGTATTATTGCTAACTTCCTGATACCAAAACAAGATAAAGCATAAAAAAAAAAAAGTCAAAATTCATCACAAATATGGATGCAAAAGTCCTTAATAAAATTTAGCAAACAGAATTGAGCAATATATTAAAAGAATTATATACCATAACCAAGTAGCATTTATTAAAAGGATGCAAAGTTGGTTAATATTAAAAAAGCAAAAGCCTAAATAAGAAAAATCACATGATCATATTAATTGATACAGAAAAAACAGGTGACAAAATTCAACAAATATCCCTGCTTAAAAAATAAAAAACTCAGAAAAATAGAAATGGATGGGTCCTTCCTCAACTTGATAAAGAGCATATGCAAAAAACCTTGATCTAACATTATACTTAATGGTGACAGACAGAATGCTGCAATGTGTCATATTCACAAGTTCTTAATGAAGACCGTTTGAGCAGAGCACAGAATAGACAATATTCTAATGGTGTGGTCAACATTTGTTTCTTACTCACAGAGATAACAGCAAATATCCTCATCAGCCAAGTTTCCCCTAAGTTAGGCTCCCATCTCAGGATGTGATCTTATGTTCGCATCCAAGTATGTCCCATCTCACACCATGAAAGAGGAACCCTCTCTCCCAGGTTTAATATACTACCTGGACAGCCATGTGTGCATGCCATATAGCATGGACAGAGATCAAGAAAGGAAAGAGGGTAATAAAAGGTAAAAGAGAGGGTTAAAAAAAGAGGAAGGCCCCTGTAGGCCATGGACATTATTTACTGTCCCTATTTAGATGGGTGGCCATCTCCCAATGGCTATTCTAGATTTATATAAAATACTAAAAGTGACACACAAAAATTTAGAAAATGTAAATAGTCCATTATGTGTTAAATACATTGAATTAATAATTTTAAATCTACCCCCAAAGAAAACTCAGTCCCAGATGGTTTCTCTGAGAAACTATATCAAACATTTAGGGAAGAAATAATATCAATCTTATACAAACTCCTTCAGAAAACAGAAGAAGGAAACTTTCCTGACTCATTTAATGAGAGCAGAAAAAACAAAAATCTGACAAGAATATTACAAGAAAATAAAAGTATCGTCAAATATCATTCATGGATACAAAAAGTCCTTTATAAAATATTGGCAAACCAAACCTAACAATATATGAAAATAATAATAAAGTGAGATCCATCATAGAAATGCAAGATTGGTTTAGTATTCAAAAATCAATGTACTATATCACATTAATAGAATAAAAGGGAAAATCATAAGATCATCACAGTAGATGCAGTAAAAGCACCTGACAATATTCAACATCCATTCATGATAAAAACTCTCAGTAAACTAGCAATAAAAGGGAACTTGCTCAACCTAGTAAAAGGCATCTACAAAAGAAACACAGACAAAACATCATCCTTCGGGATGAAATAGTGGAACTTTCTGCTTAAAATTGTGGTAAAGAGCGCATGTTCACTCTCACCTCTTTGCACTGTAGGTCCTAGCTAACACAACGAGGCAAAAAAAATTTTTTTTAAGGCACTAAGATTGAGAGAAAAGAAGTGAAAGTGTCTTTATTTGCAAATACACGATTACATACATAGATCATTTAAATAAATCTATCACATAAACTTCTTAATCCAAGAAGAAAATTGAGAATATTTTAAACCACAAGATCAATATATTAAAATCAATTGTTATTTTTTTATAATAGCAGCAAACAACTGGAAAATGATATTTAAAAATCAATACAAATTACAATAGCAGCACACACATACAAATACCCTTGGAACAACCTTAACAAAAATGTTTTTTAAAAATAGCCTCTACATTGAAAACATGGCTGAGATAAATTAAAGATCTAAATAAATGTGTGGGGGGGTGGAGAGAAGGATTTTGAGCTCTGGTAGCATAGTGTCTAAGGCACTTGACTGCTAACCAGAAGGCTGGAAGTTCAAACCCACCAGCCACTCCTCGGAAGGAAGATGGGGCAAACTACTTCCGTAGTGATACTGCCTCGGAAACCCAAGGAGGGGTCGCTATGAGTCGGGTCTGACTCGATGGCACATAACAACAACAACAACGTTATGAATTGGACAGCTCAATATCGTAAGTCTATCAATTGTCTACAAATTGATCTAAAGATTTAATGTAATCCAACCTCAATCAAAATCCCACCCAGCTTTTATTTTGGTAGAAATTAGCAAGCATATATGAAAATGTATGTGCAAATATAAAGGAAAAGAAGTAGAAAATTGGAGGGATTACACAATCAGATTTTAAAACACATCATAAAACTACAGTAATTAAGACAGTGTGGCATTAGCATAAGGGAACAGAGGAGAGAGGAATAAAGAGTGTAGAAGAAGATCAATTATATATAGGAAAACAACTTTTCACTAAGTTGCCAGAGAAATTTCATGTGGAAAGGGAAGTCTTTTCGATAAATAAGGCTGGATTGATTAGATATTGTACGGGAAAAAAAATAAATCTGACCCATACTTCACACCATATACAATAATTAACCCATATGGACACAGATCTAAATGTGAATGCTAACATTATGAATCTTCTAGAAGAAAACACTGGAAAAGATCTTGAGCAAAATTTCTGAAACACTAAGGAAGAAATAGTTTCCCAACAAGCACTTAATATAAAAGAAAAAAAAGGGGTGGGGTATATGTGTCCCCATCAAAATTGAAATTATTCCTCATCAAAACACCATTAAGGATATGAAAAAGACAAGTCACAGGTTGGGAGAAAATATATCCAATACATATATACAGGTTTATATAAAGAACATATACATCCATATATAAAGACTAGGTCTTTATGCAAAAATCAGGGTTATGCAACAGTAGGAGCCTTGCTTCAACTTTGGGGCAGGTGTCCCCTAGTCGCTTGTCACC